AATGAAGAGATATGAGAGGACACCCCAAGCTACCCCTTCATGGAGGCAGGAAGTATTGCACATGTTTTTGGACCTTATCAATATATCGTTTGATGGTTCTGACTTATTACTTCCTCCTCCAAAATACTACTTGTCATATGGAATGGTTCTCAGGGAGGGAAAGGGGGAAAGATAAATGGGATATGGTGGTGTAAAAATAGGAAATATCAATAAAAACAAAACACACATCAACAAATACAATATAATTTGGAGGGAGAAGGAAAAGGCACTAGTAACTAGGGAAATCAGGAAAGGTCTCATGTAGGTAGCAGCTCTTCAGCAGAGCTTTGAAGAAGACTCTGGATTCTGTGGAAGTGAGAAAGAAGTACATTTCTAGCACAGAGGACAGTGATGGTGTTGAGGGATGGAGCATACGGGTGAGTAACAATTTGAAGATCAATTTGATTAGAGTCTAAACCATGTGTGTGAAGGAGAAAAATGCATAATAGCCCTGGAAAGGCAGGTTGGAACTGATCTATGAAGGGTATCAAATAAGTGCCAAACAATTTGATTCTAGCCCCTAGTCTGTTGAGGAAAGGAGTGACATGGTGAGTCCTGTGATTTGGGGATCATCCTTTGGCTACTCTATGGAGAATGGGTTGGAGTAGGGAGAGGAGAGAGGAAAGGGGCTTAAGACAGGGAGACAAATTAGGAGGTTGTCGAAATAATCTAGGTGGGAGACAACAATGGCCTGAACAAGGGCGAGTAATCTTATTCCCATTATCATCTCCATTTATAGAAGAGGATATGTACGTATATACATATATATGTGCGCATTTATGTACATTATCTCTTCCACACCATGTGGGTTAGGGGAACAGTGACCCCACGATCTAGAAAATTCCACGTAAGACATTTTGGCCCTCCATTTGTACCACAGAAGAAGTCTTAATTTTTTTCTTTTTCTTTTACAGGATGTTTAGAGTACCTTATTGCAAAATTTGGGTTAAGCATTTCTGAGTTTCTAAATTTTTTTTCTGTGTTGTCTGCTGGCCTTTTTGTGTCATCTGAAACTTCCACAAAACTCCCCCCAAATTCCCATTTACAGTCATTTCTTTGGTCAACTCACAATATACCAAAACTGTGATGGGGAAAGTTGTGATGTGGAAGGGATAAATATGTACATGTATATGTATAAGTAGATGTAGATGTAGATGTAGATGTAGATGTAGATGTAGATGTAGATGTAGATGTAGATGTATGTGTATGTGTGTGTGTGTGTACGTGTGTGTGTATATATATGTGTATATATGTGTGTATATGTATAAGTAGATGTAGATGTAGATGTATGTATATGTGTGTGTGTGTATATATGTTGTGTGTGTGTGTGTGTGTGTGTGTGTGTGTGTGTGTGTGTGTGTGTATATATATGTATATATATGTACATGCACCTACCATTATTATACTCCTTCCGAACCAGCTACAAACATGCTAAAAGGGATTTAGGCTGCATATTACATAAAGCGACCCAACTTTTCAATAATAATAATAATGAGATTAAGGCCACATTATGCGGCATTTTGCTCATAAGAACCTTCAGAGGTAAGGAATGTTCATGTTCTCCTCCTTGCAGATGAAGAGGATAAGGTAACAATGGCACCCCCAGAGAGAAGGGCCTGAGCATCCCCAGCATCTGGTGCAGAGCTGGTCTTAAGCATTTGATGAATTGAAATCAATCATTTAAGTGTCAGCCCTCAGACTTCAACCCAGGCCTTTCTCTTACTCCTGCACCACAATGCCTTGCTGCCAACACTGAGCCAGTAAAAGAACATAAAGAATATATGAAACACACAAGATCAGTTTGTATTCGAGCTCTTGCAAGCACAAGGACTGATTTCTGCCGTCTGGAATATCTATGTATCTTCCTCTCTGCCTCCATTGGCTTTATCTCTCTCTGTCTCTGCCTATGTTTCTCATTGTATCTCTCTCTCTCTCTCTCTCTCTCTCTCTCTCTCTCTCTCTCTCTCTCTCTCTCTGTTTCTCACTGCATTTCTGTCTCTATCTCTAGGTCTCTGTCTCTCTGTCTGATTCTCCCATCTGTCTCTATCTCATTCTATCTCTCTCTCTCTCTCTCTCTCTCTCTCTGTCTCTTTCTGTCTCCCTCTCTCTTTTTCTCTGTCTCTCTCTTTGTCTCAGTCTTTGCTTCTCTGTCATTGTCTCTCTATCTCTGTCTCTCTCTGTGACTCTATGTCCCTCTGTTTCTGTCTCTGTTTCTCTTTGTCTCTCTGTCTGTATCTCTCTCTTCTGACCTGGAGAGACAGCTTGCTCCACTTAGAAGTGGAGCCCCTCACACATCTGTCCCATGGAGGCCTTCTGCATCTGCCTGCCTTCGACTTGTTGAAGTGTGTGTTGACGTGCCTCTGTTTGTTGAAGAGATTTGGATGCTTGTTTTGATGCAGACCAGGATAATCAAGGCCTGGCTGGTGTGCTGTCAGAATGCTTCACGTTAAAATGTTAGCACCATGCCAACGAGGACCTGTCCTGGGTCCCAGGAGCGTGGCTATTCTGAGCCCCTCCTATTGGGAGTCTGTAACTGACTCTCCTTTTTTTTTTTTTAATAGTAATAACAAGGTTGAGGCCTCAGGCAACTAAAGAGACTTTCACCAGAGAATCTCATTTGAACCAATATCTACAAGTACTAAGATATAATAAGTTATCTCAAGGAACAGATACTCTCTGCAATATAATGAGCAGACATCAAAAAGAGCAGCTGGCCTGCAGAGTTGGAGGGTAGGGAAACAAATTGGAAACTTAGTCAGAGAGAGAGACAGAGACAGACAGACAGAGAGACAAGAGACAGAGAGAGACAGAGACTGAGAGAGAGAGAAGGAGAGAGAGAGAAAATAAAGGGAGAGAGAGAGAGACAGAGACAGACAGCAACAGAGACAAACAGAGGCAGGGAAAGGGAGGGAGCAAAATTAATTCAATCATGCAATTCCTTTTTTCCCCAGCCTTCATTATAGCCAATGGACTTCCTGGGTCAGTCATTCAAATGGTTTAGAAAGTTCAAAAGATCTTAGATTTAGGACTAAAAAGGGCCTTAGAAGTCATCCAGTCCAAGTCTCTCATTTTACAGATCAGGAAACTGAGGCTTATGAGGTTAAATGACATGCCCAGAGTTCTACATTAGGAAGTGTTTGCAGCAGGCTTAGAACCTAGGACTTCCTGACTCTAATGCAGTGTCCCTGCACTATTGTTTGGACCTTATTATATGAGGCAATGAGGTGTCATGGAAAGACTCATTTATTTGAATCCAAATCCAGATCATTCCATGTGGAACTCTAAGTCACTTCCACTTTCATCAGTTTCTTGTCTGGAATATGAGAGGACTGGACTAGACCAGAAGATCCCTATGGCAGCTCCCTTCCAACTCTCAATCCTGTGAACAAGGGATTCTCAGTCAAGATTTTAGAAGAATTAAGGATTACAACTGATGTTTCACTTCCAGCCCAGCATCTTCCTTATGGTCATCCTCCCAGCTATGTTCAGTATCCCTGGTTCAGTGACAACCTAGTAGGGCTATGCAGACATGGCCCCCTCAATAAACCCTAGCCTATTCCATCCTTATTTTGTAAACGTATGCTTCAGCTGGATTAAAATCTTCGGTTGCTGAGCAGTGGACATTTAATCCCTCCAAGATTTCCTCCCACTTATCCTGTTTATATCCTGTATATAAATAGCTGTTTGAAGGGCATCTTCCCTATTTAGGGGCTGTTTTTGCCTTTCTTTGTATATCTAGCGCTTAGCACAGTACCTGGTACATAGTAAGGGCTTTAAAAATGCCTGTTGCCTGACCAACTAACAGGCAGGTAATAAAGCTTCAAATCAAACAAATGTTAACAGGCATTTGTGAGTGCTTCAATGCTACTTAATTTAAAATTGTTCTTTCTATTTTTGAGTTCAGCCTCTTTTTATACCTAAAAAGCTTGCTGATTAAGAAATTCAAGAAGTTTGCATTAGCTCAGTGATGACGGATGTTTGGCTGTTTTTCAGAAATGTGTAAGGGTCACCATTTTAAAAAATGAATTTGTGTGTAGTGTTGACTTTGTTTAGACCCAAGCAACTCATGAAGGGCAGTGACTAAGGCATGGAGGGGTTGGGAATTGTGCCAATGGAGAAGGGGTCCAACTCAATGAAATCCTGGATCCTTGAACTAGCGAGCTAAGTAAGGGTCATCAGAATCCTCCAAAGCCCTCTTCTAATGCCTCACTGTGGTTTGGAGGTAATTTCCATGGTCATGCCAGCAGTAGATAAGCTCTGGCCACTACTGGCCAAGCCAGATGGCTTTGATTACAGATGGTCAATGGATTTGGGTACCTATTATTTGAGGACCAATCCTGCTAATTGTGGAGAAGCTTATCACCAGACAATTGGCTATTAGGGGATGACCATCAAAAAACATCTAAGTCATAAATGGGTCAAGATCTGTGTCCAATGAACAGGGTGTCAATACGTACAAAATCACAGTTCCTGGAAGTATTGAAATAAGAAGTAAGTTAATTTTTGACACCTCCTATGTTCTTGTGCATGACAATCCATTCTTCCCTGTGAGCTAGAAATGTTTAAGATCAAAAAGTGTCCATGTCCGCTGAGAGAGGCTGCTTGAAAGGAAGCAAGACAGAACCCTTTCAAGAAGAAAATTGTCCTATCTTCTCACCAGTGTCAGAATGTAGAAGTGTTTACAAAATGCTCATTAAAAGAAAAAGGAATTGGGAGATAGCTACAAAATCTGGTGCACAAGTTTACACTAAAGAGATAAGAAAGGCTAGGCTCCCATAGGCGATCCTGCTGTCCAATTACTGCAACCTGGCTTTTTTTGGGGGCAGAGGAGGAACAGAAGGGAAAGAGACAGACAGAGTGAGGGAATGCTTCTGAAAGAGTTTCCAAACTTGGCAACTCCGGATGACATAAGTCAAGTCCTCTCCAGAGGATTCGGACCACTTGCACCACTGACACCTAAACTTCGCTGGGCTTGGGGGCTTGAGCAAAGCCATGGGCTCCTCAGTCCTACAGCTCTATGCAGTCCTCTGTCTGGGAGCCTCCTTGGGATCTGGCAACCCCATCATGAGCCTGGAGGACTCTCCCCTGGAAGAAGATCTGCCCCTGCTGGATGATGTTTTTTCAGAGCAAGATGGTGTTGACTTTACTTCTCTGCTACAGAGTGTGAAAAATGAATTTCTCAAGACATTGAACCTGTCTGATATCCCCCTGCCTAGTTCAGCCAAGGTTGATCCACCAGAGTACATGTTAGAGCTGTACAACAGATTTGCCACTGATCGTACCTCAATGCCATCTGCAAACATCATCAGAAGTTTCAAAAATGAAGGTAAGTTTGGGCTTTTGCCATCATAAATTCAACTATACTTTTAAAAAATGAAGATATATATATATATATATATGTACTATATATAATACATATGTAGATTTTTGACATATAAATTCACACACATAGGGTTGTGACAGCAATTAGGTCCTGGGTTTCACTGGTACAAGGAATTCCTGGGTGAGAAAACCCTCTCTTCCAACAGAGTTCTGCATTTTCTCTGCAATTGACAATCACAGAAGTTGCCAAGAGCTTGAAAGGTTGTGACTTGTACAGGATCACACAGCCAATATATGTCTTACTAATTCCAAGGATGGTTTTCTATCTATTAGGCCAATATGTGTATGTGTGTGCATGTGTGTGCGTATGTGTATATGTGCGTATATGTTCATTTATGTTACATATAGATATCAATATGTATATATATATATGTGCATACTATATATAGATTTTTTTAAACCCACATGAAAAAATACTGTGAACTCTTGCTAGCACTGTATAGACTTGCATATGTAATTATATTATATACAGACATCAATAGGTGTATATATGTGTGTGTGTATGTATACTGTATATGTATAAAAACCATATAAAAATACTGTAAGCTCTTGCTGGCACTGTATGTGCTTATATATGCATTACATTATATATAGACATCAATAGGTATATATGTGTGTATAAAGTATATATACGTATATATGTATGTATGTATGTATGTATATGCACTGTATATTTTTTGCATGGTGTATATAGACACACACTGTATTATATATATATATATACACACACACACATACACTGTATGTATATACATATATATAAACACATACATACATATATATATATACCTACTGATGTCTATATACAATACAAATGCATATTCAAATCTATACAGTCCCATCAAAAGCTTACAGAATTTTTTGTTTGGTTTTTATGTAGATCTTGGCAGGAATGTCCCAGTAGACTTTCTATCTGACATCATAGCATTACCTCTGAAGTGGGCTCATCTTCTTCTGATCAGATTACCATCTTCTGTTTGAATGCCTTAAAACACATATGGGTCATATCCTGCCTGTCAGTCTGCCTCTAAGCTTGCACTGCTAGTCAAACTTTCTTACTGGCTTCACTTTGTCAGTTTAGCATAGGAAGGAAATTTAGAAAACTCAGACAAAAGGCAGGATGATGTGACTGGCAATTTGCTAGGGAATGGTTCCATTTTGCGTTTATATTCAAGAAAAGTTGAAACGGTGTAGAAATGGAAGGGGCTGCTATATTAAATCTGCTAGTAAAGGGATAACGTATCTTCATGCAGTTCAGAAAGAACTTTCTTCCCCATGATTCAGTCAATCCTGAGTGAGTTATCTCCCTCTCCAAATTTTTTGATCATAATTTATGTTATCTCCTTTCCCTCTACTATAATCTACCTTATATGCCATTTATCCGTCTCTGTGCAGTACCTCACCTAATAAACTGCTTGAAGCTCCATAGAATCATAGATCTAGGGCCGTCAGAAGCCATCTAATCCAACCCCTTGATTTTATAATCGAGTAAACTGAGGCCCAAGGAGATTAAGCTACTCGCCTAAGGAGATTAAGAGACTCACCCGGGGTCAACAGGGAGTAAGTGTCATAGCTGGGACAGAACCCACGTATTCTCATTCAAATGCTGATTCTCTTTCCACTCTACCAGCATTCCTCCAAGAGACCGTGCTGGGGTTTTTTCAGTTTGTTTGTTGGTCCCCAGGACCAGGTACTTTGCCATGCATATAGTAGGCATTTGATAAATATTTGTGGAATGGAGTGGAACCAAGATTATTCACTGAATCACACGACTTTAGAGTCTTATTTACAGGTTCTAATTAAATACAGAACTTATTCCTGTTATTCCTTACAAATTTCAGCATCCAGCAGAGCTTTCTAGGGAATGGGCAGGGCACCGGAAGACAGGTTAGCACAGCTTTGTCCAGACCGCTAGGTTCAGTAGCAATCTCATACTTTGCAATAGCAATATTCCATCACATATTGCTTGCTCAGTACGTACACATTTCTTCACAGATCGTGGATTTAGGGCTGAAAAGGACCTTGGAGCTCATGTCGTTGTCCAACCCCTTCATTTTATAAATGAGGATCTGGAGGCTAAGAGAGACTTGAAGAAAGTCACACAAGTAGAACGCTGCTAAGCAAAGATTGGAAACCAGGTCCTTCTGATTCCAAATCCCATTCTGAGGTTCTTTTCACCTCTACCGCATGGACTGTTTCTAATATACACAATATAATTTAGGGATAACTCTGTTTGGCTTTGGGTCTGGGATTTCACTGGTATAGAGAACTTCCTGGTGTGGAAACTCTCAAAACCAGTGTAGATCAGCAACTCCTTTATACATCAGAGACAGTGGTGTACGGTAGATGTTTAATAACCAGCTCTCCGGGAGAAACAAAAATGTACATATTACACACTTCTGCTTTTAACCTGCACCTTTATTATTTCTTCCATCACTTTCTTAAGTCTAGATAATCAGCAAAATAATAAATCAAGCCTGGACTGGTAGGGTTTGATGACTTTTAACAACAGGCCAGCAGATTTGAGCTTGGCTCCAGCACATTCCTGCCTACAGAGTTGCCTGGAAAACTAAGAGGATTAAGTGACTCACCATCCATGATCAAACAGCCAGAATGTATTATAAACAGGATTTGAACCCAATTCTTCCCCACTCCAAGGCTAGCCCTCTACCCACCATGCCTCATGATCTCTCAATGATCCTTTCCAAAACTAAATCTATGACTCTGTGACCTATATTCATATGCCCATCAAGCCAGCAATACGTGGCTCAAATGTATTTATTGGTTAGGCTCATATAAGTTTATTTTTTAAAGTTTTTTTAAAGTTCCAGTGTCTTTTGTAAAACATCACACACACACACACACACACACACACACACACACACACACACACACACACACACACATACTGCATTGTATTTGCTACCTACCTTTAAATTTTGCTAAAGCTTTAGGGGAAAAAAAATTCAGCATTCAGTAATTTGTGAAAGAAGACAAATGACATTTATATCTGTAGACACCTTATGCAGGCAAGTTCAAACTCAGTGATAATCTCACTCCAGAACCTATTCTGAAGTGCTGCCGCATACCTCTGGGCTTATCCCTAAGAGCCCCTGATCTGTTGAGAGCCTGGAGAGTGACATCGTTCATATCCACGCATGAAAAAGAACCCGTTGGCCATCCAGAGTTCTCAGTGTTAGCTCTAACATTCAAGCGAAAAATTAGAAACAGCCTTGAAGTCAACTATGAGAGAATGATTAAATAAATTGATATATTCATGGAGTAGAAAACCATAATTAAGAACAAGTGTGAGGAGTACAAAGGAATCTGAAAGGAATTTGTTGAAACAATACAAAGGGAAGAAAAGGCAAAACCAGGAAAGTGGAGAACATTATTATGAGCATAAAAGAAGAAATGCACACCAGAAAGAATGAAAAAAGAACGCTTGTGGGATCTTAGAGGATGTGTAGTAGAAAGAGTTCTGAACTTGGAGTCAGAGGACATGGGTTTGACTCCCAGCTCTAGCACTTGCAATCTATGTAACCTTGGATCAGTCACTTCATTTTTCTGGGCCTCAGTTTCCTTATCTGTAAAATAAGGGGATTAGACTAGATGATCTCTAAGGTCCGTTCTATCTGAAAATTATGAAACAAGATTGGGTTGCTATGACATTTTATGCATTTAAATTTGTTTATTTAGATGGAAATAGCTGTGAAATTAATTTAATTGGTCACACTGAGTGTTTTAAATTGTCTATTACTCATATAAAAATGAATCTATTATAGATACAGGCCAGAATTTTGAGTTTGAAAAACCTGCAATTAATTGTCCAATGATAGCAAAAACCTGAAAATTGAACTCAGCTTGTGCATCAAACTTTCAAAGTCTATCCTGAGTGATTAAGGATGATAAGGTCCAGAACTTTAAAGGGCATGTAGGGCAGCTCCCACGTTTTTACATATGAGGAAACTGAGCCCCCAAGGAGTGAAGTGACTTGGCCAAAGTCACACAGACGTTGAGGTGATAGCGGAATATAGGCATTCTGATGCTATCAGACCATAACCATAGGAAGCAGTGGGAGACAGCTGAAGCACCAGCAGTAGGGAGGCAGAGTAGTGCAGTGGACAGACCACTGGACATATAGTGAGGAGACCTGGGTTTGAGTAGAAGGTCCTAAATCTACCAGCTGTGCAACCTTGGGCCCCATCACTTCCTAAATGAAACTTAGCTTCCTCACCTGTAAAACAGGGAAAATCATAATTGAATGAAGTTACTATGTAATTATGAATGGGTAAAAGCACTAATTTGAAGTCAGGAAGACCTGAGTTCAAATCCAGCCCACATGTTGTTGTGGTGGTGGTGGTGTCCAATCATTTCAGTCTTCTCCAACTCTTTGTGACCCCATCTGGAAAATTAAGAGGATTAAGTGACTCACTCATCCATGATCATACAGCCAGAATGTATTATAAACAGGATTTGAACCCAATTCTTTCCCCACTCCAAGGCTAGCCCTCTACCCACCACGCCTCATGATCTCTCAATGATCCTTTCCAAAACTAAATCTATGACTCTGTGACCTATATTCATATGCCCATCAAGCCAGCAATACGTGGCTCAAATGTATTTATTGGTTAGGCTCATATAAGTTTATTTTTTAAAGTTTTTTTAAAGTTCAGTGTCTTTTGTAAAACATCACACACATCTTGGCAAAGATACTGGAGTGGTTTGCCATTTCCTTCTCTACCCCATTTTACAGATGAGTAACTGAGGCAAGAGGGTTACATAACTTGTCCAGGGTCACATAGCTAGTAAGTATCTGAGGCTGGATTTCAATTCATGGAAGATGAGTGTTTCCAATTCCAAGCCCAGGGCTCTATCCACTGAGCCACCTACCTGCCTCCCAGCCTATTTTACAGATGAGGAAACAAGGCAAACATAGTTAAA